GAAGGAACCCTTAGGAGGCAGTGACCATAACATGATAGAATTTACCCTGAAATTTGAGAAGAAGAAGGTGAAATCAGATGCAATGGCATTATAGTTAAATAAAGACGACTACAGAGGCATGAGGGAGGAGCTGATCAAAATTGACTGGGAGAGAAGCCTAGCAGGAAAGACAGTGGAACAGCAATGGCAGGAGTTTCTGGAAGTAATTTGGGAGACACATCCCTAGGAGAAAGAAGCATACTAAATGGAGGATGAGGCAACCACAGCTGACAAAGGAAGTCAGTATAAATGCAAAACAGAAAGCATATAATGCAGTGAAGGGAAGTGGGAAGCCAAAGGATTGGGAAGCTCACAAAGCCCAACAGAGGACAATAAAAAAAGAAATAAAAAAGGGAGAAAATTAAATATGAGGATAAGCTAGCCAGTAATATAAAAGAAGATTGCAAGAGTTTCTTTAGATATATAAAGGACAAAAGGGAGGCAAAAGTGGACATTGGGCCATTGGAAAATGACTCTGGAGAAGGAGTAATGGGGAACAAAGAAATGGCGGAGGAACTGAACAAGTGCTTTGTGTCAGTATTCACAGTGGAAGACATGAGTAACGTCCCAAAAATTCAAGAGAGTGGGTTTGTTGGAGGGGGGGGGTGTAGAGGTGAGTATGGCAGCCATCACCAAGGAGAAGGCACTGGAAAAACTGAAAGATCGGAAGGTGGATAAGTCACCTGGATCAAATGGACTACACCCCAGTGTTTGGAAGGAGACAGCTGAAGAAATAGTGGAGGTGTTCGTGGTGCTCTTCCAAAGAATCACTAGAGTCAGGAAGGGTGCCAGAAGACTGGAAAATCGCTAATGTAACCCCCATGTTTAAAAAGGGATTAAGGCAAAAGACAGGAAATTATAGGCTGATTAGCCTGACCTTGGTTGTCGGTAAGATTATGGAGTCCATTGTGACGGATGAGATTTCTGAATACTTGGAAGTACATGGTAAAATGGGGCAAAGCCAGCACGACTTCATCAAGGGGAGGTCATGCCTGACAAATCTGTTAGAATTCTTTGAGGAGGTAACAAGTAGGTTAGACCATGGAGGACCAATGGATGTTATCTATTTGGATGTCCAGAAGGCCTCTGACAAAGTTCCGCACAGGAAGCTGCTGAGTAAGATAGAGGCAAGGTACGAGCATGGATAGAAGATTGGTTGTCTGGCCGAAAGCAGAGTGTAGATAAAAAGGTCCTTCTCAGAATGGCAGCTGGTGACTAGTGGCGTTCCACAGGGGTCAGTGTTGGGACCACAATTGTGAAGGAGAAAACAGAGTTAACGTTTCGGGTCCGGTGACCCTTCCTCAGAACCTTCCTCCGAGGAAGGGTCACTGGACCCAAAACGTTAACTCTGTTTTCTCCTTCACAGATGCTGCCAGACCTGCTGAGCTTTTCCAGCAACTTTGTTTTTGTTCCTGATTTACAGCGTCCTCAGTTCTATTGGTTTTTATTGGGACCACAATTGTTCATTTTATACATTAATGATCTGGATGAAGGAACTGAGGGCTTTCTGGCTAAGTTTGCAGATGATATAAAGATAGGTGGAGGGACAGATAGTATTGAGGAGGTGGGGAGGCTGCAGAAGGATTTAGACAGATTGGGAGAGTGGGCAAAACAGTGTCAGATGGAATACAACGTGGGATAGTGAGGTCATGCACATTGATAGGAAGAATAGAGGCATAGACTATTTTCTAAATGGCAAGAAAATTCAGAAATCTGACTTGGTAGGCCTAGTCCAGGACTCTGTTAAGCTAAACTTGCAGGTTGAGTTGGTATTTCCGAAGGGGAATACAATGTTGACATTTATTTCGAGAGAACTAGAATATAAAAGTAGGGATATATTTCTGAGATTTTATAAGGCCCTGGTCATACCACATATAGAATTTTGTGAGCAATTTTGGGCCCCATACCTCAGGAAGGATGTACTAGTCCTGGAACAGGTCCAGAGGAGGTTCACAAGAATGATCCCAGGAATGAAAGGCTTAACATATGAGGAATGTTTGAGGACTCTAGGTCTATACTCAATGGAATTTAGAAGGATGGGGAGGATCTAATCGCAACTTACAGAATACTGAACAACCTGGACAGACTGGATGTTGGGAAGATGTTTCCATTGGCAGGAGAGTCTAGGACCCGAGGGCACAGCTTTAGAGTAAAGGGAAGAACCTTTAGGATGGGGATGAGGAGAAACTTCTTTAGCCAGAGAGTAGGGAATCTGTGGAATTCACTGCCACAGAAGGCTGTGGAGGCCAGGTCACTGAGTATATTCAATACAGAGATAGATAGGTTCTTGATTGTCAAGGGAATCAAAGGTGACAGGAGAAAACGTGAGAATGGCTTTGAGAAACTTATCAGCCATGATTGAATGGCAGAGCAGACTCATTGGGCCGAATGTCCTAATTTATGCTCCTATGTCTTATGGTCTTACAGTTTCTTTGAATTATTACAGCAGTAATGCACCATGAGTGAAATAATTTGTATTCATTGGATATAAGGGACTATGGGCAATGTAACGGAAAATGTTGAGTAAAGGACAGAGCGGAATACTTTTGCTGGGTATCAAAGGGAATCAAAGAGAAAGGTGAAGATGTGCTTGAGAGTATTGGTAGCTGTAGAAATATCGTGGTAAACAAGGTGTCAAAGCCTAGACAATTAGTATTTGATAATACTGTTGTGAATGAATTGTGGGAGAGTCCACCCCAACGGTAGGTGCAGAGGGTATGCTGGTGCAAGGGGATTGTAATTGGTGTAGAAAAAGCTTGAGTACAAAATCCAGGCCAATCTCCATTGTAGCATTGAGGAAGAGCTTGCTACACTGTCGGATACGTCATTTTTTAAATGCAACATTAAACCAATATCCGTCTGCTTTCCAAAATAAAATTTAAAGATTCCATGGCATTTTTTTTTTTAAGAAGAGCAAGGAAACTATCTTTGAATCCTGAACAATATTTGTTCCTCAATCAGCACCACAAAAACAAGTGTTAGGTCATTGATATATCGTTTTTTTATGGGGCCGTTTTCGGTTTCGACATTTCCTACAATTCAAAAAGCACTTAATTGGTGAAAAGCATTTTGGGTAGTCTCGAGGTTAGGGAAAGCTCCCATATGAAATGCATGTTTTCTTTTTAGCATTAACAGTCAGGCTATAAAGAGACCCTTCCCTTGCAATGCCTTTCTTATAAAGTGCAATAATCTTTCAAAAATGCAGAAAAGATTCTGATCTGTGAAAAGTAATTTACCTGCCAAATTCCAATCATCAAACAAATAAAGGTTGAAACTAAAAAATTGCTTATTTTCAGTTTTAATAAGTTGTGTTTATATTCTCTTCTGTCCTATCCACCAAATCTGAAATGTCTTTATTTTCTTTTGTCCCTCAATGTTATGTCGACATGCATCCAAGAATTTGCCAAAAAATGCACTGGCAACACCAATACTGACTATTGCAATGACTTTTCATAAAGAACAGACAGTCTGGTTTATTTACAAAAATGAAAATTGAGGTCACACCATAATTATTGCTAGAGTTTCCTGGTATTCCAGATAGTATATCTTAGTGTTCAATGTTTCTGTTGCCTATGGCTCAGGAATTAAATTTCTGCTATTTACTGAGACAAACTGCTCATAAACCTATTAGAATTGCAATTTGCATTTAATTTTCATGCCTGGCCCTGCAGAAATAATTATCTAAGACAGTTAGAAATATGTTCCTTAAACAGCTCATTTATTATACAATATAATAAAACACTAATTATAAATATACTCTTTTGGGGAGTTTACAGTTGCTTGACGACTCCAAAGTTTTGCCTCATATTTTTCATCTGTGTAATACTTTTCGTTACCGAGAGAAACAAACACAAGGGACAATAGACACAAGATCAATAGTCAGATTGAGAAATGGAGATATGCAAGAACACACAGATTTTATGCATTTCCACCTTGCTTCTACCTTGCTTGTCAGTTTTATTCTGACAAACACAAAAATAAAGAAACATAATAGAGCAGTTAGTAAGTTCAGCTTACTCATCCTTCAAATTCATGAGTAAAGACTCAATCTGGCCTGTTTATATTAGTTGGATTTCAAATGATGTTTAACATGTTTTTTTAAAATGATAGTTTGTGACTGATTTAGTTTGTTGCATCATCCTTATTTTAAATATTCTTTCTTCTGGGCTTTAGAAAACAGAGTACCTCCCTACATCTGTCATTAAAGTTAGCATCTTCCTTTTGATGGCATTTTAGCAATTTGTCCAATGGGCATACATCAACTTTCTTGCTACTCTCTTCAAATCTCAACTATCTACAATATCAAATTCATGAACAATCACAATATTTCAGGGGTTTCACTAATTCGTTATCACTACCATTTTGAATTGATCTTTAATAGATTTATTTTATTCTGAACATCTTATTTACCCTTTTTCATAAATATTCATAAAAATACTCAAATGCAATATCATAGTTACATATGGTATTAGGTTATGATGGATCTATGATTCACAGCTGCGCATCATTGGAAGTCAAGTTCATCAGAAGGTCAGTATAGCAATATGCAATTAATTACAGGAAAGACCATCCTGAATTGACTGAGAAAAATAACGTTACAAAATTAAGAATTTTACAAACAAGTACTAAATTCTAAAAATAAATTGGTATTCCGAAGGACTTTTCCTGTAATAAACCTCAAAGTCTATCATTTTCCTGTTAAATTTAAATTGATTTTGAAAATATGAAAACAAAACTGAAAATAAATTAGTAAAGCATTTAGGCATGATCATTTTATTCCTTCTAACTGGGCTCTAAAATGAGCCAGGTTCATGGTATGAAAAATATCCTATCAGCTTGCTTCTAATATAAGATGCTAAAAGCATTTCCCATTTCCCAGCATGCACTAGCACAAAATATTCAAAAATCAATTCAGACTTAGTAAAGCTAAATGAGTTTTAAATCAGGTAAAAAGAACTTACAGAGGTCTCTGTGGTTAGTCTTGGATCTTCCTTTGGGATTTCTTTTAAGGATCTTTTTACCATGGAAGCTCTGGATTGGTTAGCTTGGCCATCTTTCACTTTTATGATGCTTGGTGTAGAATCTGGAGCATCTACTCTGGTGGGAGATCTACTTAGGACTGGAGAGATACTGCTATGAATCTTTTCTTTGTCTATTTTGGTCAGCATTGGAAAAGGAGTTTCTTGTAAGGTTTGTTCTCCTGAAGCAGCTCGTATTGCTCTTTCAGAGGCAACTGACATTGAACTATGGGATATATGAGAGACGCATGAGGCTTCCGAGCTGGTGGAACGTATCCTGGCATCCACAGGGCGTCTGGTAATGTTATTCAGTATATCATCCTAAGGTTTAAAAATAATTTTGTTATAAACTTAAATCAAAAATGAAAATTACTCACAAGTTGAAGAAATAATCATTACACAACTTAATAATTAAAATAACATTGCTTCTTGTTCTGCATGCTAGCTGTTATTGTAATGGCTTCCATCACTCAGGTAGTATCTCCTCAGATATTTTACATCTGCCATTTTAACCGCCTTCTTAAAAACATGTTACTCCTCTGCCTTAAAATATTGCTTTATCTCCAACCTATCTTTCTTGTGCAAAGTCACTGAATGTCTTGTTATCTCCCATATTCTTCTAATCTTCCCCACAACTCTAATTAGGTTTCCACCTCTAGCACAGCACTGACATACTCTGTTGCCCTATTGTCTTTCCCTTTTGGTTCTCTTGCCTGCTCCCTAGTCTTTGATACATTCAATTATCCCACCCTCCTCCAACACACTATTTTGTTGTCTGGATCAGTATAATGGTCCTTAGTAGACTGCAATCTTACCTATCAAACTGTAATGAAGGTGCCTTCATCAATGTCTTCACTTTTCTTTACACATAATGTTTGTTACCTCTTCAGGATCTAGTCCTGTCCTGCTCTTATTTCTTATCTAAATCCTGCCCATTGTTTACTTTATTCAAAGACAAAGGGCCAGCTTCCACAAGCACACTGATGACATCCAAATATATCTCTCTACCATAATTAAGAATCAACCACATTGCTATTGATCTGGAGTCACATGTAGGCCAGACCAGGTAAGGATGGCTGTTTCCTTCCCTAAAGGACATTAGTGAACCAGATGGGTTTTTCTGACAATTGACAATGGATTCACGGTCAGCATTAGACTCTTAATTCCAGATATTTATTAAATTCAAATTCCACCATCTGCCATGGTGGGATTTGAACCCAGGTCCCCAGAACATTACCTAGGTCTCTGGATTAACAGTCCAGCGATAATACCTCTAGGCCATTGCCTCCCCTAATTGCTTGTCAAACATCTGGTCTCAGATAAGTCACAATTTATTTTAATTAACTGTTGGAATTAATGATGACATCATAATAAAACAGGTTTTGTATTGAACCAAACTGCTCCCAACCTTGATATCCTGTTTGATGTTGAGCTGAGATTTAGTGTCATATTCTCTATCGCAAAGACTGCAGCTGAATTTTTGTATGGACTAAGAGAGGCCCTCCATCTTAGTGAAAACAGCACTGGGGATCTGATTTGAAGTCTCACCCTTAACTAGGTCCTCAACTATTTTTGTAGGGGACCTGAAAATGAACTTGGGTAGCACTTTACTCTGTAGTTCACTTTGCAGTTCATAGTGACAGCTACACATTTACAACTGCAGTTATCTTTAGGCAAGTCTGATTTTTGCTTGCATATTGTTAGTGGTGAGCACCACAAGTAACTAAAGTGTAATATGAATTTCAGTGCTGGTATGATGCTAGGTGGATAGGTCATATGTCCCAAACACTGACCGATCATATCAAATAGCATAACCCTTAAACATGTTAGGTACTGGTTGTATTCAACTAAACCATGCTTCAAAATGCAGACTTCAACATGAGATCTGATTCTGTGATTGGACAACAATTCCTAAATAACCTGGGATATGCAAAGAAATTAGCTGACAACCAACTAAGAATTGTCAGTTGAATTCACAGTGTTACTCTTGCATGTGCTGGAAGATACCCACGTTAATGCATTCTTTGCAGACAGAAAGAACATGCACACACACACCACCTGTACCAACTCAACGGTGTAGGAAATAGTATTCTCTGGTTCATTTCTCAGTGGAACGCCTTGATCAATCACAGTCAACTTGCCTGTTTAAGATTTAGGCAAAGCTTAGCATTGGTCATTATCAAACGGATGCATTCTCCTTGGTAGCACCTCTGCCAATCAGAGTTCATCTGCCACCAAAAGAGCACTCTCCTCTCATACAGTATAAATGTTTTCCCTTCACATTGGTATTTTTGTGAATTGTCCTGATGAGTGCAAAACAGAAAGCTTTATAGTAAAGTTTCTTCTATTGGCAAAAGGCATTTAATTACTATTGTTGATTTGAATGCAAAACAAGGCATTTTGCTCACCAGTTTCCTACAATGTATTATATGCTGTGGATTCAATTTATGGCAATTTCAACAGAATTAGCTTTAACTGGACAGAAATATTCGTCTGTTTAATGTAGAAATTACTTTCGTTGATTTAGCTAATGATTTTCTATGTAGTTGGATTACAGCCAATGAAACGCTACATAAATTGTATTTTCAAACCGGTTAATTGTTGAGTACTAGAATGGAGAGTTTGCTAATTTAATTTTAAATTTAAACCAATTCTATGTAATTGTTTTGCTTGTGTCATTGCACAAAAAATTACATATTTACAACCATAATTTGCAAGGACAGTTATAAATGACTGTGCTAAATGTTAATTGAAGGAAAATCAAGTGGTTCTGCTAAAGATGGGTTTTCAAACTAGAGTTTCAACCTATACTTGAAGGGATCCACAATGAAACTTGGCGATCGGTGAGATCATTATAGGATGATATCACATTATTTCTGTTGGTGTTTTGTAAAAACAGAGCAAGCTCCGCAATGATAATATGGTTTACCATATAGTCGGCTGTTTTACAGTCAAGACATAAGGTTATCAGAAGTATGTCAAAATATACAAGGAGTTTCCACACAGAAGAAATAAATCACTTGTGTAGATGATCCTTTGATGATTTAAATTTATGAAGTCTTCAAATTAATTTTATTGCACAATACAACCACAATATACACAGTATGAAAAATACAGATTTTTTCAATAGGTATTTGTACATATGTGTGTATATATTTTTATATTCAAATAATAAACGTTGCCTCTGCATTCATGTTTAACCTCATTGGCACTTACTTCATATCTCAGAATCAACAGAACAGGTACAACCACTTTAATATTCACAAATGTTAACGATATTCAGGAAAGAGAAATATCACTTGAATGGTCCTGATGCAACTAGGCTCAATATCCACCTTGTCCATCAGTGACACACTGTGGCTGTGGTATGTTCCTTTAATTGAACATGCTACAGCACTTAACTAATCTTATGTAGATAGGATATTCTGGCTGTGAGATCTCTACCATCACAGAATACAAGAGCAGTGAGATCAAGGAAACCCAATCAATTTCAAGTTGCATATCATTTTACCTTGGACATGATAAACATTGCTATGACTGACACCTGAAGTATAGGTATGGACAATGGGATCGAACTTGGAAGCTGAGTCCCAATGTGAGCCTATGGGGCCAATGACCCAGATATTGTCTCCTTATCCATCCATTTACAATGCCAAAATAGCCCACATTCAGAACAATTGAAACAAATACCTAACCCGCACAATCCTGAAGAAATTCTGACAGTGACTCCAGCCATATATATGGTCACCTTAGGTGAAAAACAATAGATATTAAAGGAGCTGGTCATCCTTTGGTGCACCTGCTGTTTTGGAGACTGTTGCAGGACATGACAGCGATTCACAACACTCATTTTAATAATGTATGTGGCCTCATGTGAGCAAGTTAATCCAACAACAATGGAGTGATGTCCAAGCAATATCTCAGGATGACAGCAAATACTACACTCCCAACAAACAGAGAAAGGTTTAAGAATATAGCTTTTGTCTTCATTCATGCATTGTGGGCATTGCTAGCTAGGCCAGCATTTACTGCTCATCCCCAGTTTTCCTGCAAATGACTGTGGCGAGCTGTCTTTTTGAATTCCTATAGTCCTTCGGGTATTGTAACTCCCATGGTGCTGTTATGAAGGGAATCCAAATTTCACCATCTACGACTGTGGGATTCAAATATCCTCAGAATATTATCCATGATGTGGAGGCACCAATGTTGAAATGTGGTAGACAAGGTCAGAAGTCACATGATACCAGGGCATAGTCAAACATGTTTGTGTGAAATCACAAGCTTTCGGAGTGCTGCTCCTTTGTCCGTTACCTGACAAAGGAGCAGCAGTCCGAAAGCTTGTGATTTCAAATAAATCTTTTGGACTATAACCTGGTGTTGTGCGACTTCTGAGCTCAGAATATTAGCATGGTGTTCTGGATCATTAGCTCCCTGACATTACCATAATTCCACCACCTCTCCCATATGCAACACAGAGAACATTGAACATCAGCAATCACATCTGGACAGAGTCATCAGGTTGTACAGAAAAATTGAGGGGTGATATTAGTTTCCTCCAGATTTTGGGAGATCTCGATCAGTGAAGATGCAGAAACAAAATTCACAGCGTATGATGATTTCTCTGAAGTACAGAGGTCCACCGGAATAATCCAAGTGTTTTTTTAAAATGTTAGAGGAGGAACTAACCAGAGCCAACAAATATTCTACGTGTAGGATTCTTTGTGGCAATGATTATGACACTATCATACAATAGGCAAGCAAGACAGACGTTAAAACAAATAAGGCGCACACAAAGCAGGACTTCACTAGTGGTGGAGAGAGCAGCATTAGTTGAACTCGGGCATTGAGATGAGCTAATGTTTTACCTGTGGTGTAGCATCTGTAGTACTGGGGATAGCAGACAGAATAAGACAGGATAACCAAAGTGTAATAATTGTGGAAAACAAGGTCATGGGCAGAATGATTGCTTGAGTAAGGGTGGAAAGATAGAGGGATGTGGCCAATGTCAATGTATGAACCAGTATAGAATTGACCAATAAGTAGGTTGTGAAGAGTCAAGAGGATTATCTGAGTCAATAAACAAGTCGCTTCGATCCCCAGGGATGGCAAGGCAATAACTGGCAAGTAACATTTGGGCCACGTGTTCCAGGTAATGACAATCTCCACTGAGAGAATCTAGCCATTGCCCTTTGATATTCAATGGCAGTACTATCACTGAATGCCCCACTAGCAACATCCTGAGGGTTACCAATGACATGAAACTGAACTGGACTATCCACTTAAGTCCTATGGCTATGACTACAGGTCAGAGATTAGGAATC